CAGGAAGTAGCCGGAGCCGGAGCTCGGCCTCACAGTCGGAGCAGCTTCCATAGAGACCAAACTGTATTTTTCACGGAGCCCAAATGTCCAAATGTCCAGATAGAGCTGTCTGAATAGACTCTGTGCTGTTCCCTTTATCTGAACATGTTTAACATCTGAATTATCTCCCGCTGTCCTACGAAGCTAATGCAGTTAGCTTAGCTTGCTAGCTGGAAACAGTCTGGAGGAAAAGCTGCTGTGAATCAGTAAAAATGTCTAAAGTGGAGAACGAGGAGGAACTTTGTGGACAACGCAAACTACTGGACGCTGTTTTCAAGCCTGCAGCAGGTTTGTACACTTTACTGCTTATTCTCACTGTAAACTGCCTTTACTGCAGTAAAAGTACTAAACCACTCTGTGAAAATACTCCACTGCGAGTAAAAGTCCTGCATTCAAACCTTCCTTCAGTAAAAGTATGTATTATTAGATACAGACAGACAAATCTGTGTTATGCTTGTCTCCAAAGAAACGTCTGTATACCCACCAGGGACATAGAAATTAAGCTTTACTGGGGCTCAGGCCCCCCCATCCCCCAAAACCTTTTTAGAAAGTCTATGAAATTTGTTAATGTGCTTTACCAGCTTCTCTTGTATCGCCCATTTTTATTGGCACTGCTGCGTCAGAAAGGGCTTTGACTGCAGCATGCGCACACACACGTTAGGGATGCATGATTATGGCCAAAGTGATGATCACGATTATTTTGATCTACATTCCCAGATAGCAGACCAACACTGAATCAACGTTGCATCAACGAAACTATCATTGAATCAGTGTTGCAGTTAGTTGATTGTTAATCAGGTTTGCACCCTGAAATAGAATAAAATAAAGTAGAAAATAGATAAAAATGGTCATAAAAGCGATGTAAGTTGAGCCTAAATTCAATCGTTGATTTATGTTAAATCATCATTGAAACAACAACAGATCAGCCCTGCTTTATCTACAGCAGGATTCTGTGCAACTTGCCAGCAAATCATGTCAGTTGACTCCTGTCAATCAGAGACCACGTGGGGTTGCAGTTAAAATGGTCTTGAACCACAAAGTCACACTCAAAGTAAATAAAACATCCTTGAATCAGACATTAATTCACATGTACTTTTATTCATTTACACCACCACATCCTGTCTGAACAGGAAATAACATCACATTCAGAAAAGTCAGAGGATCTCAATATGACATTTCACTATGACTTAATACAACATATAAAGCAGTGTTTCCAACACATACTGTAGGCTTTACTTGGGCAGGCCGCCCAGGTAGATTAACAGCCGTCCAAGTAAATTTTGTGACCCATTTTAAAATCATTTCTGATTGCAGTGCTGCGCATATTCGCTCCGCACATCCTCTCACTTGTCTCTCTCTCACGCAAACATGGACAACAGACCCGTCTTTGAATTGAATGGTTGGTATCATAAACACAGCTGCACAAATCTGTCCAACACAACGCTGTCAGTGTCGAAGACCCATCTTCAAAACAGTTATTAGCGAGCATGTAAGGAGGCTAGCTAATAAGGATCTATGTTAACTTTGGAAAACAGTTAACAAAGTTGGCAGGCTGTATAACTGGTAGTAAATAGGTGCGAGATAGACCTACTGGCTGATTTTCGCCGACTTGATAGATAGGGAAATATAAACAGCGCCGTCAAGTCAGACACAATCTACCTCCAGTAGCTGCTTGAGTTTACTTTGAGCTTAGAACAATAAGACCTTGCTCTCACGAGGTTTAGTGACGTTTTGCAGTGCAGGTGTTGTGCCGAATTCTGCATGCCTGCCATGAATTGCATCCACCTCGCGGGAGGTAACGCTCTTTTATACTGAGAAAAAGAAAGAACATTTGTTTTGCCAAATTATACATTCACTTCTTAAGGTCCTTTTAGGACACTTTGCTGCTCACATTGTTTGAACGCGGTAATAGTAAATTCTCACAGTTTAATGAAATTTTAAAATGTCAATTAAGCTGAATTACAAGAGGAGAATGCTAGAGTAAGGTTACTCCAGCCAGGAAGCAACAAAAGGAGAAATTTTCCTTCAAGCCTGTCTGCACTGGCTTTTTAACATTAACGTTAAAGGAAACACTGACTGTTTTTTCACAAGTCTGATTGGCTTATATGTCTGTGGGGGGCAGGTATTTGAGGCATTTCAAGGTTTGATTGACACATTTTGGGTCAATCCTTGGGGAGAAATAAAAAAAAAAAAAAACAGTCAGCAGACGAGAGCCTTTATTTAAGGGCTACAGTGTAATCCAACACCGCTTACATTCACATTGGTCAAAGTGCCTCTGTAAATGTGTCTATCCTTCAAAAAGTCAATACATAAATCAGTCAATCAATAAAGCCAATCCCGATCAGTTAACAAATGTCTTGATTGGCCCCGACTGGATCGTTAATTATAATATATATATTATATATCGGAACATCCCTAGTTTGAATGGATTCCAAATACATTGTTCTAAATGTGCATAATAATCCACACATTTAAGAAAGCAGTGGTGTTAGTGGTTTAAAGGTTAACAGGAAGTTACAATTTTCTAAAAAGTGTTTGTATTTCATTATTCTCTGCAGAAGTCCAACTGCTGTTGGTGAGTAAAGAAGAGGTTCCCCCTGAGCAGCAGGAGTGGAGCCTCAGGCTGGACCAGGAGGACCCACCAGAGCCCCCCACACATTAAAGAGGAACAGGAGGAACTCTGGACCAGTCAGGAGGGAGAGCAGCTTCGAGGGCTGGAGGAGGCTGATATCACCAAGTTCACATTCACTCCTGTCGCTGTGAAGAGTGAAGAAGACGATGAAGAGAAACCTCAGTCCTCACAGCTTCATCAAAGACCGACTGAACAGATGGAAACAAAAGCTGATGGAGATGACTGTGGAGGACCAGAACCAGCCAGGAACTCAGATCCAGATGGACATTTTCAACCTGAGACTGATGACAAGACGTCAGACTCCTCTGAACCTGAGGCAGATGACAGTTGTGATTGGGAGGAGACCAGGAAACCTCAGTCAGGTTCAAACCCTCTGCGAAACAATAAAGTACCTGTAAGTGATCAGGAATGTAATACTGGAAAAACATCAAGTTGCTCCTCTGAATGTGCTGCAAGCTCTGGCCACAAAGGACATCTGCAGGAATACAGTGGTCCCCGAACAGCAGAGAAACCATTCAGTGTCTCAGTTTGCAAAAAAAGACTTTCAAGTGAGAGGAAATTTCATAGGAATTCTCACATTAAAGAAACTATTCAGTTGTTCTGTCTGTGGAAAAAGATTCAAACAACAATCATATTTGACCAGACACTTAGAAGTGCATACAAAAGACAATACTTTTCTCAGTTTGTAAAAAATATTTTCCACTGAGAAAAGCTGCCATGAGGCACATAAAAAGACACTCAAGTGTGAAACCCTTCAGTTGTTCAGTTTGTGGTAAAAAATTTATAGAAAACTGAGGAAGTCAGTTCAGAACTGTGACGCATCTAACAATAATTCATGCCACATAGTCATTCAAAGTCTTTTTTTGTCTTCGTGGGCTGCACGATATGAGAAAAATGTGCGAGAACTTTGTTCAGTATTGCGGTGTCAAAATAAATCTAGAGCATCAAAGTCATTATATAAACAAATGAATCAATCTCATAAAATAAATGATATTCCTGGTATCAAAATGAGTGAAGTTAACAAGGAAATCAGGGACTCATCAGTCCTTCCTCGAGTCCTCCTTCCCTCTTTGTTGTAATCAGCCGCTTATTCCACCACAGTATCTATATCCCAGAACTAGGAACCTTTTGATGAATTCAGTGTTTCTATTGCAGGGACCAGGGTCTAAATAAGTGTCTTTATTCTACCCCCCAAAGGTATTTATTTTAGTCCCCATAAAGTTATGTTCCTCCTACCCTCAGGCGGACACAGACGTGAGTGCTGCCAGCTCATGTGCTGCTCCGTCACCTGGAAATGCTTTAATGACCTTCCAGACTGTTGCAATTTTATGTTTGTTGATGACTTGATGACTGTATCAGTTATTAAATTTGGAACAAACTTTAGTTGTGTCTCTCTTATACTCCCAGCCAAAACATGCTATTTGTAGTAGTCAAGCATGTAGTTTTTGATTAAAGGCTATTCCAATCAAATCTGATATTCATATGTACATTTTTCTCATGGATAGTGGTACCAAATAATGAGGCCTGTCTATCGCTATGTACGGCGTATAGCCTACATCAGAGTAATAACAAACATCAGCTGGTTAATTTGTCTAATCTTCAAAGGTCTTTCAGGGTGTCCGCGGGGTCTTAAAAAGTCTTAAAAGGTGATGAATCAATTTTGCAAAAAATTAAGGCCATTAAAAAGTATTAAAAAGTCTTAATCGCCACTTAACAAGGTATTAAATGTTGAAGATATTTTTTTCAATGTGAAAATCCTGTTTGCTAAAAGTGTAGGTGAACGTATTTATTTATAATGCATAGCCAAAAGACAGGCAGTGAGTAGCGACTGTGTGATTCGTTTCTGTAACGTTAGGCGCAGGGATCTACCGAGCGCCTATTTCACTCTTAAACGCTCCAAAAAACAGATCCATGAAAACCGGAAAATGATTTACGAGTACAACCAACCGCAATCTCCCACCCTGCCGGACTCGCAATGTTACTCGTCCAAAACATAGTCGGAGTGGCGATAAGAAGTAGTAGTTAGCTGGCTATTTAGCTAAAGCTCTGCTTTTTATTGAAACAAATTCAACTTTTCATAAAGCTGACGCTCTCGTCAGTGTCACTTTTTGTGAACAAAACACAGCCTGGATGGAGCGGGATTAAAAAAAACAAGCTTGATGTGCTGCAACAAACTTTATAAATGTTGAACTCATAGTTCTGCATAAACAGTTCTGATTCTAGACGAGTTCGTAGCCCTAAATCAAGGCTGGAGACTATCATGTAGCCTGGAGCATTTTTCTTGCACTAAGTTAATGAATAAAAAGCAACCCCAAACTGAAGCAGCTGTAATTTGAATTAATATTATACTAGTGGTAAGTTATACTATTATATGAAATTATATTGACTATAGTAACATAATGAATATATCAAACTTACAGTTTACTATTAAATTAACAATATACTTTCAATTTAATGTTATACTAATCCTGTCATTTAGACCAGTTCCTCTTCCTGGTTGTGCCTGTGCTGCACCACCTAACCTACTTATTTATTCATCACTCAGTTTATTCTCTTCATCTTTGTTCCCTCCTGGCCTATTTGAATTTTGTTGTATTGATCAAGTGGTCGATGAAAGTTATCACACACATCATTGCAGGCAAGCTCACATTATCTAGTTTAAACCAACTAAAACACAAAATTACAGTGTGGTTCACATGATTTTCTGTAATGCTGCGTACATAAACGTCATAGTTTATATAAGACAGTTGCGTTTCGCAGGAAATCTGACCAGTTCTTCACATAGAGAACTGTTGGCCCATACAGGCTGTTATAGGCATCTGAGAAAGTTGGTGAATGCCTCAATTTTTAGGTGGCGTTACTAACTGGTGACATATAGGCAATAAATATGTTATAAATATACTTAAATTCCTTTTAAAACCTCAAAAATGTCCCTTTTAAAGGTGTGTGGCTGATTTAATCGGTTACAGCTCAAAGTGGCGCAGCAGTCTTAAAATATGTTGAAAAAGTCTTGAAAAGGTCTTAAAAAGGTTTTGAATTTTACTTCAGGATTCCTGTATATACCCTGTCTTTAGACCGCTGTGGGAACACACAACAGTGGGCGGAAGGAACCTTTTAGTTCCCTAGATCCTGGGACTAAAAGTCCATTGTACTTTTGGTGGAAACGCAGCAATTCACTGCTTGTGGGTAATATGGGGAAGGGGCTGTTTTTTCAAATTTTAAGGTTCGTGGCAAACTAAGATGAACAGTTAGATTACTGACAGACAGACACTTTTAGCCAATAGCCAAGCTAGCATACTGCGCTTGTGTAAAACATAGAGGATGAGAGATAATGGACAGAGTAGGACAGGGCAGTAGGTTGGGCAATGTCAATTTTGCAGAGAAACACAGAGTTATCTACTACGAAGGGCTGGACGATTTCACCTAAAATCAAAATCACAAGTAATTGAACTTTTAACTTCGATTAATTTGTTTTTGAATGTTGTTTTTTTGCCCTCATATGTCACCGACAATGTTTGTACTGTAAAAATGCTCAGCTATTAAAGTTGGGTTTATTTACTCACAGATTTCACAAATTCATTAGGCTATCTAAATGTTAATTAATAAGGTAATATTGACATGCACATTACAGACATGGTTCCTCTATATTCGGCGCTGCTGAATTATGACCGCTGCTACTAAAATTTCACTCGATTATTTAATATCAAAGCGGAACAAAAGATTTTCACCCGCACACAGTGTGAGCACGGTAAATCACGCTTTGCTAGCTTCCTCTCCTCATTCATAACGAAAATATGCTCAATATTGGCCAATAATTTATCAAATTGATAATTATTGTACATCCCTATCAAATAGTTTCCTAAAAACATTTTCTACCAAACGGTTGGGTTGGCACTTCATGGTAAAGGTTGTGAGTCTACTAATTTAATACAAATTGACTATTTGCTGTGAAATTAAACATGTCTTATCATTCATTGTTGTTAACATGATACATTTAATGTGTTTCCATTTATATATATATATATGCTGGAATGATTTCATAAATATATTTATAATGATAAAAACATGCATTACCAAAGTAATGCTGAGATAATAAATGTACAACTTTAATGGAATAAAAAACTTAAGAACTAATGAATATCTTGAAAAAATAGACATGTGTTGGTAGTAACATTACTATTATTATGACACTACATGGTTTGTAAGTGTGATTTTTCCTTTCTGTTTTACAAATAATAGATGGACACCAAAACATTTTATGGTGCAAGGCCACGGAATTTTCTGGCCCTTATACCAGAAAATCCTCAAGACTCTGACGTTGATCTGTGTGATGATGGCGACAACCAAATAGAGGAACCTGATTATCAGCCCACACAAGCAGGAGATGAGGACAGTTCTTTTGAATCCATGGATGAGGAGGAGGTTGCCTCATCTTCTAAACAACCGAAGAGTAAGAAGAGGAGAAAAGGACAAAACAACCTAAGAGCAGTTTCCTTGGCAGAGCTAGAGGACACTGCTGACCCTAAATCACCCTCAGGCCTAAACAGAGGCACTCAGAGAATGTGGAAGTTTGAAGACATTGAGGCATTCCAGTTTCCTGATTCAAGATTTGAACTCCCTGATGACGTAAAGACACCCTTCCAGTACTTCAAAACACTCTTCACTGACAAGATGATTCAACATATTGCTGAACATACCAATCTGTACTCTGCACAGGAGTTGGGCGATCCAATCAAAACTACCCCCGAAGAGATTGAAGATTTCCTGGCAGTACTACTTTTCATGGGTGTTTTCAACTTCCCAGCCATGGATGACTACTGGCACCACCAGTCACGTTTCAGTGTGATAGCTGATATCATGTCAAGTAAGAGATTCAAGCTGTTACGCCGGTTCATTCATTTTACTGACAATCAGCAGGACAATAACAGTCCGGACCGGTTTCAGAAAATCCGCCCCCTTTTTGAGATGCTTCGTGAGCAGTGTCTCCTGATCCCATCCACTTACAAGCACAGTGTGGGTGAAGTCATGGTGGCATATAAATGCACAAGGGCTGGTACTCTCGGCCAATACATTGCCAACAAGCCAGACAAGTGGGGCTTTAAATTGTTCTGCCGGGCCAGTCCATCTGGCATCATTCATGACCTACTGCTCTATCAAGGGGCATCCACATTTTTTAATGTGGCCCTCAGTGAGGAGGAGCAGGTGCTGCCTCTAGGGGCCAAACTGGTGACAACCCTCAGCAAAACAATAACACAGCCACGGCTTTCAGTTATCTTCTGTGACAGCTACTTCACCAGTTTCGACTTGCTCCACAACCTGCATGCAAACCTGGGTGTCAGGTGCATTGGCGCTGTCCAACCAAACGGCATGGGTGGAGCTACCATGATGACAGACAAACAGCTGATGAAGGAAGGACGTGGAGCTCTTGACTACAGGTCTGCTGAAGGAGTGATCGCAGTGAAATGGTTTGACAACAAATGTGTCAGCCTTCTTAGCAATGCCTGTGGGATCATGCCTCTTTCAACTGTCAAACGGTGGAGCAAAGATTCCCGCACAAAGATTTCCGTCCCGTGCCCATCACTCGTTACTGCCTACAATCAGCATATGGGAGGCACTGATCTTTCTGACATGCTGGTACACCTGTACAAGACCCCAGTCAAGTCGAGGAGATGGTACATTCCCCTGTTTGGATACATCCTTGACCTGTGCATCTCAAATTCCTGGCTGGTCTACAAGAGGGACTGTGGCCTACTGAACGAGAAACCAATGCCCCTCAAAAGGTTCCGTCTGGCAGTTGCCCACAGTTTGGTGCAAGTCAACAAACCACCATCCAAAGTTGGCCGACCGTCACCTTCCTCTCCACCACTGATGTCATCTCAAAGGAAACACACTACCACAAAACCCTCACAACCACAACCAGATGTGCGTTACGATAACTGCGGACATTTCCCACTTCACTGTGACAAGCGAGGGCGGTGCAACTTATGTCCAAAGGGGGTGTCGAGATGGAAGTGTCAGAAATGCAATGTTTTCCTGTGTTTGAATGCCAACCAGAATTGCTTCGCAGCATACCACCAGAAATAAAGTAGAGCTTATGCCAGAAACGTTTGTGTTGTTGTACACAGATGAGCAATCTGCCATTATGTAACACACTGATCCTTTATCTCAGTAGTTATCTAAGCCTGTCTGAAGGCTGAGCGTGCATGTACTTGTTCTTCTGAAATACTCAAAGAACAGAAATATTTACTTGATTTAGTGTTTGCCATGTTGGTAATATTCAACAATCAATGAAGTTACCGTGTAGTGCATACTGTTTGTATGAACTCCCCTATAAACTCTAGCTACAATAGCTAATTAGGAATGAAGTGCTGAATTTGCCTTCTCTGCTGCTGACTGTCATAAAGAAGTTAGAATTTTATGTTTTCTAAAATATGTTGGTATTAAAATTTATTTTGATAACCTGATAATGAAGAGCCATCTCAACCGCTTCACAGAGCACTGTATCAAAAAAACTAGCCTATTGGGTCTGTTTAACTTTTTTTTTATTGATTATTCTATTGATGACCTAATGAAAAAAAAAATTCCATCAGTTTTTTCTTGGTGACGACTTTAAAGGGTTTTAACATGTTTTATTTGTTTTTAGAAATATTTTTCAAAGCTCAATATGAGATGAAAATTAGTCTACAATGTTATTTAATGATTTATTTTCTGTTTACTTGTGATGTGAATCCATTGTGAACTTCCTTGTAAACCATTAGAAGTTTGTAATAAAAATGTGTAGTGCTTTAATAAAGTGTGTTGATTTATCCCTCGAAAAACTAAAGGGTTGTGGACCAATAAGTCATTTATAGATCATCTGTACCATTGATTGTGAATGATCCACCTGCAAATCATCATTAGGCAGTAAGTAAAGTAAAATACTTTTTTAAAATTTTATTTTGAGCACAGTACTCAAATCAGAAAGGCAGAAGAAAAGTTGGGTTTGGCTTCATCCACACTACTAGCATTGTACTATAGCATTATTGTATTATTTTATACTTGGACATTTTTTGATTTCCTTACTTTTTACATATTTATATTTATGTTCATGTGTACTGTAAGCATTAATTTATACCAAGGCAAATTCCTAGGGTGTGAAAATGTACCTGGCAATTCATAGTTTTCAGTCACTTGACATGCGCGGTGACCTGGAGGGCAAAACAACAGACCAACATAGCGGCTCACACTGCGACTCCCCCGTTGAGACGCCGTAAAAGGGATCACCTCTCAACTCAGGAAAAAGAAAGATATGAACACAAACTGCAAGTGTTGGGCACTTCAGATCCATGTTACAGCATTCGCTGCCTCATTTCCACCCTTAAAAACTGCCAAGTCCCTGCCGCCACCGACTGCAGTATGTTTACGTTACCTTGTAGGGAATCCCTCACCTAACACAGCCCAGGCTTGTCTCTTCCTCGATTAGTGTATCCGAAAGCACAACTACCATCCTGCATTTTGGGAACGCAAAAGTAACAAACTCAAAATAATACTGTGTCACTTGCTTCCTGGTTGACAGGCAGCAGAAAATAACGTTTTTTTTGCCCTCCAAGGGAACGTTTTCCTGGGAATGTGGAGTCACCTGAAAACTACTCTATGTTTTCGTTTTAAAACACAGGCTTTCACATTTGACTTCCTTATTGGGTCTTGTGAGTCATGCGTTTAAATGAAATGGTCAAATTTAAATTATAACTAAATAAGATGTCTACAGGTAATCACATTTGTAAATCAATGACTTATGAATGAATGAAAAATGAAAATAAACTGTCTGGTACTAATGGTATTTAGAATACCACTTAGGCCTAAGTAAATTCCCCCCATGCAGCTTTGATGTGTCTAAAAGCTAACATTACAGTAACTTTTGTTCAACAGGAGAAATGGAAGAAGAGAAGACTTGTTAAAATCATGGCTTTTCACTGGTTGTTGACATAATTGTAGTTCTTTTACAGTAACAAGAGGTGTGAGTGCAAAGATTTTAGAAGCAACGCATATCCTGGGGGTTAAGCCTCCCCTGTCTTTCAATCCCAGTGACGTCCCTGGATATTCCCACAATTGACAGTTTCTAATAGAATGGACTCTCCAATGCAAAGCTTCAATATTATAAAAGAGGAGAAAGTGGACAGAGAGGAGTTCTAACATCCGTTACTTGGTTCAGGAATATCTGAAGAAGAGCTGCTATCATTAACTTACTGCAGGAAATCTAGAAGAAAAACACAAATGGCACAGATTATTACAAACTTCAAAGGTCTGTCAGAAGGAGAAGTAATGGAGGTAAATGTAGGAAGGAAGATGTTATTGTTTTTAAGACACACAACACTACTACTACTTTACAGCATGAAAAAGACAGAGTCATAAATGTGAGATTGTAAGGAATATGTTGAACTTGTAGTACTGATGGGCTGTAGGAAGTTCAGTGTAGAAGGACAAAGACTGAAGGACAGGGTGGTAGATATGTAAAGGGAGTGGAGCGTCAAAGGTCTGATGTTACACACTCCGGTCCAGCAGGTGGCAGCACGCACCAATAACGTTGCTTTGTAGTCCGCCCAGAAAACCAAACACCAAAGAATATTTCCGGTGGCTAAAATGTTAATTTTCCGTAACCATAAGATAAAGCAGCAGAGCCTGCATGTGAGGATCAACGTGTTTAAGTGGACTCTGTTTAAACTTTCGGGATGTTTCACCTCAGACTCATCTCCTGTTAGCCAAGAATGCTAAAGGAAGTTAGCTTGTCAGCAGGAAGTAGCCGGAGCCGGAGCTCGGCCTCACAGTGTGTATTTTATCAGAGTGAGCTGCGTGTCTGTAACGGAGTGTGTCTGGAGGAAAAGCTGCTGTAAACATGTCTAAAGTCCAAACGCTGAGAGCTTTTGTCCAGCAGCGACTAAGTGCGGCTGCTGAAGAGATATTTGAGCTGTTTGAAAGAACGATAGCAGAGTACGAGGAGGAACTTTGTGGACAACGCAAACTACTGGACGCTGTTTTCAAGCCTGAAGTCCGGTTACACAGAGCAGGTTTGTGCACTTTACTGCTTATTCTCACTGGAAACTGCCTTTACTGCAGTAAAAGTATGTGAGTATTATCAGCAACATGTGCTTACAGTATGACAGTAAAAGTACTCACAGTGCAGTAAAATGTTCCTGTCAGAGTTTCTCTGTTATATCTGATAAATATTCCTGCTGCATTAATGTGGATGCTGCATTTCACTGTTGGCGATGTTTAAGGTTAACACCAATAAATAATGTTTCACGTGCTACAAAGAAATAGCACTGAGCATGTGATGCTGATAACATTTCTATAAGTTTGTGTAAATCTTAGCAACGTAGATTTGGTGGCGTGGGGTCCAGATTTCACATCATTTTCGACCATTATTATTACCATATCTGTAAAAAGCTCGATCAGATAGATGCTATGAACAGTGATTTAATATTCATGGCACAGCACCAAGCCGCCTTTTGCCTCACCACCTTTATAATGTCAAAACCCTGTGTATGTGCTCCTCCATGGTCACCACCCTCCAGGACTTTTTTCTCTCTGCCTGATCTCGAGAAAGTCATCCATGCTTTTATTTCATCTAGGTTAGTTATTATAATTCATTGTGTTCAGGGCTAAGCAACATATATTAACATATATTAATTAACTAAACATCAAACGATATCAGTATGAACCAAATTGTCTAATTGTAATTTTATATCTATTTTGTAATTATGTCAGTATATCACGTAATACCGATACTGTCCAGTCCTAGTCAGCCCTAGTATTCTGTACCATTGCTTGCATATGCGCTTGCTTGTATCCTTCGCCGGCATCCAATCACAAGTGATGAATACTTGCCAATCACAGCATGGCAGGGCTCTCTGAAACTCTGGCAAGAAAAAACAATTCGATGCAACCGGAGCAAAGGAGATGAGAAGACGGCGCTGTGAGTGAGAGGAGGCTCTGTGGGCGCTGTCTGGGAGAAGAGAACCAGTATCGATGCTGTGAAAATTGAGTATTAAAACCATTTAAAATATTCAAAATCAACGATAATTTGACAACGCTAACAATGTACATGATTGACAGCATAAAACCTGGACTATATGCCACAATATGGCCTCTTCATATTTTTAACTGTAGATGTTTATCTGAATTCAGGACTAGTGGGTTCACATGTGCATGTAACATGAGCGTGGAGTCGCTGCTGCCTGGATCACAAACATTTTATGGTATATGGCCAATTTTGTTTGAATGACTTACAAATATGTTGTACAAAATATGCATCATTTCTACACACTTTTAAGAAAGCAGTGGTGTCAGTGGTTTAAAGGTTAACTGGAATTTTTCTAAAACGTGTGCATTTATTTCATTATTCTCCACAGATGTCCAGCTGCTGGTGAGTAAAGAACAGATTCCCCCTGAGCAGCAGGAGAGGAGCCTCAGTCTGGACCAGGAGGACCCACCAGAGCTCCCACAAATTAAAAAGGAGTGGCGCCTCAGTCTGGACCAGGAGGACCCACCAGAGCTCCCACAAATTAAAAAGGAGTGGAGCCTCAGTCTGGATCAGGAGGACCCACCAGAGCCTCCACACATTAAAAAGGAAAAGGAGGGAGAGCAGCTTCGAGGGCTGGAGGAGGCTGATATCACCAAGTTCCTATTCACTCCTGTCCCTGTGAAGAGTGAAGAAGACAATGAAGAGAAACCTCAGTCCTCACAACTTCATCAAAGTGTAACTGAACAGATGGAAACACAAGCTGATGGAGCGGACTGTGGAGGACCAGAACCAGCCAGGAACTTGGATTCAGATAGACATTTACAACCTGAGACTGATGACACGTCCCACTCTGAACCTGAAACTGATGACAGTTGTGATTGGGAGGAGACCAGGGAACCTCAGTCAGGTTCAAACCCTCTGCGAAACAATGAAGTACCTGTAAGTGATCAGGAATGTAATACTGGAAAAACACCAAGTAGCTCTTCGGAATGTGCTACAAGCTCTGGCCACAAAGAACATCTGCAGGAACACAACGAACTCCGAACAGCAGAGAAACCATTTAGATGTTTAGATTGTGGTAAAAGATACTCGGGGAGGAAGTCCTTAAGGAATCATATGAGACTTCATTTAGAAGGAAAACGTTTCAGCTGCTCAGTTTGTACAAAAACCTTTCAATCAAGCAGTGAGGTTGTGATGCACATGAGAATCCACACAGGGGAGAAACCATACAGTTGTTCCATATGCAGTAAGAGCTACTTCAGGAATAAGTCATTAAGGGAACATATGAGACTTCATTCAGAACAAGGTTTCAGCTGCTCAGTTTGTAAAAGAATTTTCAGTGACAGAAGCTCTTTGTCTAGACACACAGTAATTCACACAGGGGAAAAACCCTTCAGTTGTTCACTTTGTGGTAAAGGGTTCTCACGAGGCCAAACACTGACCCAACACTTAAGAGTACACACAGGAGAAAAACCTTTCCCATGCTCAGTTTGTAAAAAAAGTTTCAGTCACAGGACTACTTTGTCCTCACACATGAGAATTCACACAGGGGAGAAACCATACAGTTGTTCTGTTTGTGATAAAAGATTCACTCAGCACACTCAAATGAAAAATCACAGGTGTGCTGGTGAGAGCAGTGGAAGTAAATGAAGCTGCAGAAATTTGTGTTGAGCTGGTTCCCTCCAGCAGGATTGAAGTACTGAAGGCAAGACTTGGCTCAACACTGATCAGTTCAGAACTGTGAGACAGACGTAGTAGTGCTTTACAGCAGTCTGGGACTGTTCTGTTTGATATTACATGTATTCATTGAATTAAAGTATGTTTTACAATTAGAACTTATCTCTATTATATTTCTAAATGAAAACACCAAGCAAATATGAGGAGGTCAGCAGTGTGCTGTTGAACCTGATGAAAATGCATGCATGGGGATTTAAAAAGCCATCATCAATGGAGCTCTGGGCCGGTATTTATCAAGCTTCTCAAGTGCCATTTTAGTCTTAAGTGCTAAGAATTCATGAAATTTTCTCCTACTAAACTTGAGAATAAAAGCAAGTTATCAAATTTCTTAAAGCTGAGAATCACTCTCACTCTCCCAGTTATTTAAGACAGCTCGAGGTCTCTCCAAGTGGTTAGGTGCCAGTAGGGGCTTGTGATGGCGCTGTGGAGACAGAGACATGCATCTGAATTATTTGATGACGCACAGTTGATAAGACTGGGTTGGACAGCGCAGGCATAAACGTTGTCAGCGAGTTGGTGCTGATGATGATTTTGGCTCGTCACAACCATCAAATCGCCAAATAGACGTGGAAACAATTACAGCACTTTTGGCTACAGCTCCACACGTTGTCACACGTTTCATCAACTTCCCAACAACACCCAGGAGACAGAAGCAAACACAGTTCATGCAAATAACCGGCTTTACGGGAGTAGTAGGTGCATTGATGGTGCTCATGCAAACATAAACTTTTTTGTCTTTCATTTATTAATGTCTAGGCCTATATCATAATTTATTCTCTTAATTGTTATACATGTAAGTAAGTAAGTAATTCTGAGAAGCTTGATAAATACGGGCCCTGATAGTACAATTCACCATGGCAACATGGCGTCTTATTTACATTGCTCATCTTGCTCATTTCGCATTTAATAAAATGCTCTTAAAACACATTAACACTGTTTTTTCAGCCAATATTCAGAAAGTCACTTGTCTCCAACATGACAGGAATATTCCATCAGTGTGACTAATCACTAGGGCTGTTCCCGACTAAGGATTTACATAGTCCAATCAGAATTGTCAAGTCCTGCCTATAGTCGACTGATAGTCGAATCATGTAAGTGTTTTTGTTCGTGGCGATTTACGTGCATTACTGCTGCCGACAACTGCGTGCACGTCGCGGTTCCCCGCGGGTCTATTTCAAGTAGCCGGCTATTTAAAAACGATAAAATATTCTTTGTGTGGTTCATCAACAGTGATAAATTATCCAAAGTCCTGCGAGGTTCGGACAATTCGGCACAACACCAGTGAAGCTGGAGCTCCGTCTCTTCAGCAAGCATTCCTCCACTGCCACTGCACACTACGCCTACACGTGCGCACTCACGCACTTCAAAAACATTTACGGAAAGTTTGATTCTTTTTACATGTTTATTTACAGCATGAAACGTTGAAATGTGTATTGTAACAGGCTGTATATTAACTTATTTGGTGAAACTGGTAGTTCTCAGACGTTGAGCACCCCCATATCGCCAAAATGGCGTGATCCTTGTTTCGCTGCGAAGCTTTGACTGTAAGATTGACAGTCGAATCAGGCTCCGCCCATCGAAGCATTGCATCTTCCACTATTCAGGGTCAGTCCTACTAATCACAATAAGACTAATGATTGTTGATTGATTAGTTACAGCTTTATAGATTAGTTTGATTTAAACAGTGATTACTGCAGTAATGTAGGCCACTGTATTTGTTGCAAATCTGGCTGCTTCCTTAACATCCACAGAGTCACAGTGTTATAAATCAATTAGTGTTGCCTATCAATTTTATTGTGTATGTGTGTGAAGGAAATTAGACTGCCTCATTATTCAAATAACATTGAAGCCAACTTAAAGATGTAGGTTCTCCCATCTGATCTTTTGAATTCAAAATATTGTCCAAGTAACAAGTTTTTTTGTTGTTGTTTTTGTGTGTTATTTTTTCAAACCAGTGTCCTGTACTGCAAACCGAGGTAACTGGCTTATCCAGGTAACTTCAGGAGTAACTTTGTGACGTCGGGTGTAACTTTCCAATTAACTTGTTCTATGAAAGGTGTTACCCGAGGTCTGCTGCCATGGCAATTTACGCTGCATCTCTAAACTGCTCTGAGCAGGTTATTTACGTGGTTAACTAGAAGTAACCCATATATTAATTTACACAATAGTATTACATTTATATAACGATCCCTGCAGCCTCAGTGATTTAGGGAGAAGACCTTAATTAGGCTAATTAACTGTCCAATTTCTGTGATGTACGTTAAACAATAATTGAATTGTTTTAAATGTTTGCCCATATTTTATGTGACTATTTTACTTGTTCATAGCCACTCGGCTATGAACAAGTAAAATAGGGGGTTAATAATCCTAGAAAAAAATCCTAGATGTAAATGGTAAGTTTGCAAGAATGAAATTCCCTGAGATTTAAGTAAAAAAATAAAGATCACTCTGTAGTTTTCTTCTGAATACATACAATTCACGGCAAAGTCTCTAAAGTCCCAGTGTGGTGATAATATGGTGATTGTAGGCTGAAATCTCAAGTATTTCCTCATTGCTAAATCCGATTAAGAAGTTATAATATACTTAATATTATTTTCCGCTCTTTGCGTAAACAAGGCAGAGGTGTGGATGTATGTTATACTGCAGCCTTGCAGGGCTGGCTGGGCCCCTCATCTGGGCTGGCCTCGGGTTTGCGGGGCCCAGGGGCCGCTGGCTGTGCTTGCACTCGGGGAAGGGGGCTGCTGCGCCCCTCCGTTCTCGCTCCGTGACTGTAGTGGGCCCCCTGGCACGGCGCTCTGCTGTCGACGGGGAATGTGGTCTCGGATCCTTTGCACTTTGGGAAGGTTGCAGGGTCCTCTTGCTGCCTGCCGCCGCGGCCGATGCGGCACAGTTGCTGCGTTCCACTCTCACGAACACCTACATCCTGTGACAGGCTGAAACAAACGCACACAAACAAATTTAGGTTGTACATTGTTATCAACAGGTAGTTGAATTATTCTTTATGCATGTCAACAGGTCATTTATTTAAAGTAATTTATTATTATTTCCCTCTTGTGGCTGTGCTGTGTTGTTTAGTTGGTTGTCTCTTGTTGGGATAGGAGCCATACTGGCCCAGGATGCTGGATGGACGCTGCATCCCACATGTCCCAACTTTTTATGTGAATTTCAAAACCATATTGTTATGACAATCTTCTTACTGCTGTTAAGTTCTACCAGAGGCTAATTCACAAAATGCACTGCATAATTATTTCCATTATGTAAGTGGCATAAAATGGTTTTAAAATAACAGTGATATAGTTTATCACAACTATTTCTGGGACAATATATCGTGAACACAAACATTTCATAAACATTTCTTTTGATCACAATACATTTATTTTAGTGCAGTACACATTCACGGCTTTGTTTTGAACAAACATATAACTTGACATTATATTTAATCTAATTTCATTAACTGCAGGTATGTGGTGTTTTTCTCATTTATTGGGTGTGTCAGAGGTGTTACCCAATCAGCAGCCACATTTAAAAGACAGTGAAGTCCAGTGGCTGGCGTACGCAACAGGATGTTCAAGGCACCACCATTTCCATTTAAATAAATACTTTGCTACATTTTGTTAGGGCTAAAGTTGGCTTCAAACTGAAAATAACTCTACATTAACTTGATTTCACAGGGGAATCAAACGCGGTTTCCTGTGTGAACGTCCTGCGTTTGACACAGCCAATAGAGGTCGTTAAAAACGCAAACAAAATGTAACGTTTCCTCTGAGGAAATGGAAACGCACACCAGAGCAACATGTTGCTGCATTTAGTTTTCATTTTAAAATTTTCTTTAAGTTAATGTTTTGCTTCTTTTAGGGACTCTGCTCTTGCTGCAGGGTCAGAATTAAAATGCTATCCATGGCGAGCAGTTTTTCTTTACTTCACCACAGTCCAGTCCCCAGAGGATCCTGGTAGAGCGAGAGGAAGACCTTCAGAAAGGTAAATTTACTTTTTAGTCTTCAGCCACAGAAGCTGCTGGAGAAACAGCTCTCAGCAATCAATAGATCAGCAGAGCAATGTTCTCTCAGCTCACTTTAAAGCTATATTTTAAAGAGGTTCTTCTCTCACATACACACTAATCCTGCTCTGTCCTTCATCATTATAGAACATGAGTTTTGGATTTGGTGAAAAGGTAAAGTGGAATCAGAGGTCCTGATGATGAGATGCAAGAACAGTATGAGTTCAAGTGCAAGAGTTCTGAGTAAAAGGTCCCACATGGAAAGAACCTATATGAGGATATATGCGCATATATGAAACCTATATGCAGTTTATATGCACATATATGCTGCATATATACAGCATATATGCACATATATGATAATATATATGCTGCTTATATGCATATATATGCAGCATATAGGCAAAATTGAGGTGCATATACAGGCCATATAGGTCTCCAGTATTGCTTCTTTATATCCACATATAAGCCCTATATGTGGATGCAAGATATGTCTCCTATATAGCTCATGACAGGATCTGCTCATTTTGTAGCTCATATCTCACTTTGGCAACTGTCATTCATGATGCCTAGCTCATATTTTCTATTATCAAGGCAATAACTAAGAACTAAAAGAAAATTATGCAAGGACTTATGCATGTGCGAACACGTGAAATTGGTATCACATGTAATTGGCATGTTATG